TATATTTAAGTGTATGAAAGATGGTTTCAGTTGTACTGGTAACTAAATAAAAAAATACTACAGAGAGAATATGTTAAAAGCACATTTTAGTTCATAAGTATAGTGTCCCAAGTTAAAAGCACATTTTAGTTCATAAGTATGGTGTCCCAAAATAGCACAGTTCAGTACACTAGATTATCTTAAGAAGTACTAAAGAATATTTTTTTGTGTATTAAGTACAAAATTAGTGTGTGAAAATAGAGCACTTTAAGTATATTATAGAAGTGTACTAAGTAAAAAGTGTATTTTACTGCACTTTTTTTTCACCTGGTGGCATGAAACAGAAGTTGCGATTGTCTTTGCGTCCCTATTGTGACGTACATCTGAGTGAAACTAATTGCTAATTGATCTCATTGATCAGAGGAACGCAGAGGAAGAGAAATCAGCCAGAAATCAGCTCTTCACTGATCTGATCCGCTCCATTGAGAGATGTCAGTCTGAGCTGCTGAAGATGATGGAGGAACAGCAGAAAGCAGCAGAGAAACAGGCTGAAGATCTCATTAAAGAGCTGCAGCAGGAAATCACTGAGCTGAAGAGGAGAAACACTGAGCTGGAGCAGCTCTCACACACTGACGATCATCTGCACCTCCTACAGGTCTGTCAACATCTGTCTCATCACAGAGAATGCAGAATATTATTGTTCAAATGCTCTGCTGACAAACCTGATGAGCTGCTGTCTTCAGAAACTGTGCAAAAGAGAATGAAACTGTAATAAAGTCAAATTAGAAAAATGAGTTAACTGTGTAAGCTCCTGCATATGATCATATTTACTAGTCTTCTCTCTCCTGCTGTAGATGTTCTCATCTCTGTGCAGTCGTCCACACATCAAGAACTGGACTGAGATCAGGATTGACTCTGATGTGAATGTGTATTCAATGAATAGAGCTCTGATTCAGCTGGAGAAAACTCTAGATGGGAGACTAAAAACAATTGGTCAAACTGGTATGTGAATATCAAATATAGTGAACAGATTTCTTATGAAAATTAAACAGTCTAAAAAGCATTTCTCACCTCACAAGGATAATTTAGAAACTTTACAGCTCAAATAACACATATTTACACTGAATAATTAATATTAATAATTAAGGCTCTAATAAGTAATGAACATTAGAGGTTTAATAACAAACTTTAATCTCTCTGTTATGATTGTCTCATAGATCTATAATTGTATTTAATTTAAAGACATTCAATTCTGTTTTTCAAACTGATGGACGAGCAACATTTACATGCCACTGATGCTGACAATAGAAATAAACTCAGTCAACTTGAAATATTCCTAATAATTCATCATTATATTGTTATCTGTGTCCACAGGGTTGAAGTGTCTACAGAAGTTTGCAGGTACAGTGTGACGCATCATTTCCTTCAGTACATTTTATAATCTGTATTATATGAAAATATTTGTTCTGAAGTTGATTGATAATGTCTGATCTCTCATCTAGTGGATGTGACTCTGGATCCTGATACAGCACATCCAAAACTCATCCTGTCTGATGATGAAAAACAAGTCAGTCATGGAGACATTAAGCAGGACGTCCCAGAAAACCCAAAGAGATTT